TGTGAGCAGTTCCTTCTCCATCTCCTGTTCATGTCTGTGCTTTTTTTTTTTTCCTTGCTTGTATCCAGATCTGGTTCCAGAACCAGCGAGCAAAGTGGAGAAAACATGAAAAATTTGGTAACTTTGGTGGCCTTCAGCATCTGACAGAAGTTGATTTCATTCCCGCTCCCAAGTCAGATATCACAGTGAGTATCGGAGGCTATGTATAAAGCTACTGAGGGAAAGATAACTATCCTTCACCAGGTCACCTCATCACATAGGACTATCCCAGAGAAAGAGGACTGGAAAAGACAAAAATGGCAATATGATGAATCCCAGCCAATATGGTCAAATAACACATTTCTTTTTGAAATTACACCTGTTTTGTAAATACATTGTGAGGTGTCTTTTGCAAGATGATCCTTCCCTATTTTTTCTTCTAAATGGCTTCCCTGGAAATCTTACTTTGGTTCAAAATATCTTTGCCATCACAAATTTCCTGAACAGGAATAAGTATGACACTTGCAGCCACAAAGCCATGTTTCTTAATAGACAGCATCCCTCCACAACATCCAGCCTTGTTAGGCTGACAAGCGCTTTTTAGTCCTTGTCTCATGTCCTTACCAAGTCCAGGACAGTTAATATTATCTAGACTGCCGCACAGGCTCTTTTCCTCTCAGGAGTTTTTCCATGGCTAGAACAAAGGGTATTTTGCCTTGCTCCCTGGGTGACAGCAAACCATTGGATTTTAGGGAGTCTATTCTTCTAAACTTTTCTTTAATTATTGAGCACCAGAGAAACAAATAAGGTTGATTGTAAATTTTATCTAACTAAAAGTCTGTATTGATTCATCTGAGACTGAAGTTTTTATTCTTGACAGGCTCCCAGTTTGATGCCAAGAAAGCTCTCTGCTACCATCCCTGCTGTGGAATACTACTCACCGCTGCAAGGGCAGCTGACAGCTGGCTGGTTGCCCAGCATGCTCTCCTTTGTCCCTCACCGCTTGGAGCTGATGCCCTGCCCAAAACCATACCTGCTCTTCAACGTCCTGCCCTCTTATGGCACACCACTACCCCACAAGCTGGAAAGGAGCAGTATCTGTGCCAGCTCCACATAAAGGAGGATATAAAGGAGTGGGGGACTTTGTGTGCATGCTTTTCTCACCCATGACTGTTTTGGGGGTGTGCAAGTCCTTCTGCTTGAGCAAGCTTTCCAGGACAATGGGTGGCCTGTAGTGCAAGGTCAGCTTGCTGCAAGAGTGCTACCACGAGTCATCACAGCCTAGCGAACATGGGCAAGAGCCAACACAGACCAGGAATGAGCTCCCCATCTGCCTGAGAAGTATGGTGTGTAGAAGCCAAACTGAAACCAACTGAAAGCTTCCCCCTATGGGGATGGTGCACCAAGTGGCCCTGCAAAAGTACTGGGGTTTTACTCAGCCCTGAGATAGTGCTGGATGTCTCTATTGCACTGGTGGCTTGGGGCAGACGAGATGCCTGCAATGAGTTGTGTGTAGACCCAAGGTCCAGCCAATAGGGCTTTCCTCTGAAGGTTTAGTTCACTTTCCTCATACGCTGGAGGGTACAAAAAAACATGTTTAGGTCAAAAATCAAACTTTTAAGATATATTTTTTTGCCAAGTGAAAATGAGGGAGGGGTGTGGGTTTGATTTGCTGTCTGTGTTTTTGACCTGAATAGAGGGGCACAAACACAGTTTGAGCTGAAATATAACAGTCTGAGAGGGGCAGCAATGCTGAGCTCTGGATTTGGTACCGTGAGTGCCTGCAGGCAAGAGAATCCTTCAGCTGGTTAATTAAAATGCTTATGAGGAAACCTCGCATTTTTTGACCTGAATTAAGAAAGCTCCAAAACTCCATCAGAAACAATAACGAAAAGAGACAGCCTGAGTTTAATCTGCTAGACATAATAGGATAGTATGACCCCACAGTTCAGTTTAATTGTAGATCAATAATGAGATCAGCCTGCCCACTTACAAAATGTCTTTATGCCTTACTATTTACATAATATTCATCTCCATCCAACATATGGTGCTTTTTTTTTTTTCCCCTGCTTATTCAGGGTCCAATCCTGCTTCCACTAATGTCTCCAGTGACTTTCACAGGAAGCAGTGTTGAAAAGCACTGTTTAAAGGGTTACGCTATCTTCTGCCTTGCAGTCACAGCACATATTGCACAGTGACAGGGGAACCTACTGAGCAAAGCCATTAAACTGTGGTCTTCCTCCCAGACATATCACTCGTAAGGGTGGCCATTTGTGACAGTCCAAAAGCAAAGCAAATCATGACCCAAAGTCTTACTGGGAAGGCTGTCCTGTGCACATGGGAGTGCAGGTAGATTAATGACTCTGAATGGGTTGCTTACTCAAGAAATCAGCTGCCATGTCTTCAGTTGCCTTCTAGCCACTAATTGTTAGTTACATAGCAAAGCACAGTGACTCAATAGATTTCTTGTTGTCTGGCTGGTACCAGCCTTTTATGTTGTTCGGGTTTGGGAGATCTGTATGATAGGGACTAGCTGATTGCTGCAGGGGAAAAAATAAATCCTACCCTATATGGCTTTCATTTCTCCAGGCCACAACTATTCAGCAGAAGTCAGATTATACTGTGTCCTTCTTCATATGTCTTACACAAGATCTTTTTCCCACACCTGCTTGGATCTTTACTCTATATCCTCTTCATCCCTGTCATGTTATGTGACAGCTGAAGTACAGTCCAGTCAGGTACAGGATTAAACTTAAGCTCCAACGAAGGGGTCCAAGCACCTACATGACTAAAATCCACAGGAGTTAGCTACAATGTTTATCTCATGCATCTTGAGGTGACCTGCACTGCAGCCACACACACCTGAATCAAGCACCCTAGGCTCACTTCTAAGAAGAAAAAGTGATCATGCTGAAGTTTTTAGGTTAGGTGAAGTCCACGTGTTAGCACATTTTCCAGGGTGTGAATTGTCCCTAGGCAATGGTTAGATTGAATATAGACACTGGCATTGTAATCCTCTAAAGCTAAGGGGTCATGACTCTTTGCACAAATAGACCAGGTCTGCAAGACAGTACCTACACTGGGACAGATTATCCCATAGGAACATTTGTGAGCATAGAAGAGAACTCTGGGATGATCACAACATGATGAATTTTCTTAATCAGGACATGGAATGTTTGAATTTCACCCATCTTTTAATAGAAACCAAGCAGCTTTCCATGGTTATTGCTAACTTTCTGTTCACTCCGTGTGTCTGTCTGATAATGGCTTCCACACATCATGTAGTCCCACAACTAGAACAGGGTTCCTACACATCATGATGCCTGTCCAGAATCTGGAAGCTCTGCTTTATGCCTCTGAGGTCCTCTAAAAGCCCTGTTTTGGACCAAAGGTGAGAAGTACAGCTGCTGAGCAAACTTCATCAACTTCATGTTGAAAAATCAAAGTCTTTGAATTCCTTTTTCTTAGCAGGCTCAATAGTCAGAGAGTTTGTTTTGATATAGAACTACCTGGCTTGGGCTTTCTTGTTTATCTATGAAGTTTCAGAATTTCCCACTGAACAGCAAATCTAAGTTTCAGGATATGCCTAGCCCCTCTGTCCACCTGCAGCTGATCAAATTCCAGAAAGTCTTAATACTATGACCTTGTTTTTCGCCAGTTTAATAACATTTTTTTCTGAGGTATAGCAAGAATAAATTAACATGGAGTGTGGAAGTTTCTGGCACTGGCATCTTGTTAAACTCCAACACCCCCTATTCTTCCAGTTTTCATCCCATCTCATCTAACAGTGTTATCTTTCCCTTTCCCTGTATGCCCTAGCTATCTTCAAAGCAAGAAGTAAGAATAATGGCTTGTTTCATGGTTGTGCTGGTCCTCAGGGTGCTATTTTTGCATTGTTCTATACTCTGATATTTCCAGAAAATGCCAGGTTGGGCACATTAGTCTTTTGGATACCCTAAACTCCACAAGGCTTCAGACATATAGGATTGCTTTGACTATAAAATGTATCTTAAACCTGCCAAAGTCTTGCTAGAGAAAAAAGTAATCCGAGGAAGCTGGCCACACACTGTCAAGACCTGCATATAAAAATGCAGTTGTCGTGTCATCCTAACCTCAGAGTAATAGTCTGTGATATTCCCTGAGCAGAAAAAAAGGAATCAGATTTCTCACCACCAGTGTGTAGCTCCAGCTGTGCTGCCTCAGAGTGAACCAGTCCATCTGATCTCCCAGCACGTGCTACACTTGTTTCACACAGAAACACGTGGATCACCTCCCAGCAGACCCATCCCACTTCTCAAACAGAACTCCGTGGCTGTCATCACCATCCAAAGTGCCTGGAAGAGAGCTCGGGCTTAGATTCCATTACGATAACGTTTTATTCCCTCAGTGAATCTGAATCACTTCTCCAAGGCAGGGGCAACAAGAAGTGACAGCATGGAACTACTCACTCCTCATCGATGGCCATCCTGGAAGGCTGTTGCTGCAGTCCACTGGATCAGGTCACTTTAGCATAATAGCATCTCAGAAATGAATGATGGGGGAGCCCCATCTTGCCCTAGTCCCTGACAAAAATGAAGGATCATTATCTATGGTAGATGCCTGGAGGTTTTTCCTCACCTGATTTCAACTGACTCAAATGACAGGGTTTACAGTCCTCTTGGGGGAGACCCCTCTACAGTCTCACAGCTCTCCCTGACACACTGCTTACATTTTCCATATGACAGTTTCATCCTTTAATCCACCATAAAATCTCTTGCAACTTGAACAATTCCTCCCCCCATCTTATGACCATTTCCATTTTCACACTGACTTTTCTCAGTGAGACGGGCCACCAGTTTCAGGGAAATTAGTTACCTTCAGCACGAGGAAGACACGATCCTGCTGCTGATGTTTGCACACTACAGACATGCCTGAGTTCTCAGATCATGCTGGCTTGTTCTTTATCTTAGCTAGCTATCTGGTGTCCTTAATCTTTCCTTGTAAATCCCTCTGGGACATAGATATTGAGGGCAAAATTCTCAATTGTATTAAAAACAATTAGATGCATGACCAAGGTCCAAGAACCAACGTAAATTAGCACCAATCAAGAGGGCAGAGGCGGAGACTGGGACAAAGTCCAAAGAGGGTGGCAAATATGCATCAGGGAGAAGGGGATGGGGAGCACGGCAGATTGAGAGGGTTGGGACCAGCTTTGCCCAAATACCAGCTACCAAGGAGAAGGGGCTCTGTGCTGCTCAAGGGGAAGAGGGCATGACTGTATAGAAGGAAACGTGGATTTGAAAATGACCTTCCACTAAAAAATGAATGATGGGTCTACCTGACATTTAGACAATTTACTATGGAAAACTTGCTGCATATCAGACTGAAACGTACACAGGTGGGCAGGAGCAAGAAGACGAGTGCAATGATTGCTCTTTGGTTCAAAAGCTCATTTTGGGGGTTTTAATCTTAACTGAAATCTCCAGATCAGATGGCTTTTAACTTTACCACAGTAAGAGAGCCCAGAGGCCCATAGAAAGCTTTTCTGTTGTTGTTGCCGCTGTTGTTTTGTTGGGGTGGCTAGAAAAGAGAGTAGGCATTTAGAGAGGGTTGTTTACTTTTAAAGGTTTCTTTTTTTTTTTTTATTTCCTCTGTGATTACCATGTACTCTGATCACAGTCAGAAAGAGAGTGTGCAGGGAGGGTACTGCCTGCTCTGCAATTCCAAACAGGTACACACTAGACCTTGGGTGAAAAAAAAATGTGATTTAAAGCAGCCAAACAGGTCCTTCATATGTGTTGACCAAACCCTCCATCCTTTTCCCACTCTGTGCTCTGGCCTGACTTTGCTAAATGACTGCGAAGTGTCCTTCCTCTGGTACCTCACATCTCCCCTTAGCCTGGACTACAGGTCTTGCCAGTGTGCCAACTTCTATTTCATTGCTCTGTTCCCTTTTTACCCCTTCGTAGTTTTGTGTATTTTTTTTTTATGAGAAAACACTATCACTGCTAGCTCAAGGAACAAATCAGCCCACATCTGTGCATCTAGCGGAGATCAGCCAAAAATAAGGCGTGTAAATAAGGGCTTAATTCAATACATAATGATCAATAGAATAATTCAGGTGGGCTTTTATCCAAA